ATCAAATTAAATAATTTATAAAAATTAAAATAATAAGTATGTTTACAAAATAATTGACTATATCTATTCGCAATAGTACTGTAAAACACATCGTACTTATAGTTTAGCATTTCTGATAACAATTAATTAATTTTTGAATTTTCTTATATTTTATATATAAAATGCGAATAAAAAAACATAAATGAGTAAAACTTAATAAAAAAAATATCTGCAACTTCAGAAAACACATATATATGAGAATCTATCAAAAAAAGTTAGTTAATAATAATTAAAATCAAGAAAAAAAAATAAAACTTTCGATGTAAGGTAATTTCTGTGGTAAAAAGTGAGGTAAGCGATCACGTGACGCCCGTCTCCCCATCGTCTGTAACCAAAACGCCCGAAGGTGAAATAAAAGCGGAACCACCAGTAGAAGTAAAAATAAACATCGATGCGTATCTAGGACTATATATTTGAACGAAAGCGAAGATGAAACACGACACTTTGTAATTTATGCTAATTACCTTCTAATATTAAACAATTAAAATCATCAACAAAATTATAACAAAATTAAAATTTTTTGACTGAATTCGACTACAAACATATAGTAGAACTGGATTAAAGTAAAAGTACCCGTTCTTCGACGCTAAATTTTTATTAAATAATTTTTTAAATTGGTGCCTAATTGACCGAGCGCGCGTAATTTAAATTTGATGGAGCACGCGCGTGCCGACGGGTTAACATTTATTAGGTACTTTGTTTATTTTCAAACTAGAATCTAGTAGTATTATTATGTAAAAAATGTTATATATTTTATACTTTCTTAAAGAATAACTTGTCAACAATTTTACATACATTTTTCTGCTTTGATTGATTACTGTTTAACCTATCATCCATTTTACATGTGTTTACTCACACGTAAAATATGAGTTTTCTGCTTAGGACTTATTTCAATACAGTAGAGCCTCGAAAACTCGGCACTCGATAACTCGGGTGCCGAGGATGCCAGGATGTGGCACTCCGGATAACTCGGCCACACCCTGGCAGGGCAAAAAATCCTTAGTTAATTAATTTTCATTATAGACAGCTTTATGCCTCATAAAGTATTTTTCTTGGGTTTGTCTTATCAGGTAAATTACTGTACACAGTGTATTCGTTAATTTTCATTTTCATGTAGTAAAGACTCTATGCCTTCATAAAGGTCGTACTTTTCCTTTGTTTAAGGATATTTGGGCAGTTTATTCTCTGTTGTATTCTCAAGTAAACAATACATACAAATACAGTACAGTATTTTCTGAGGAAACACTCATACTTAGTTTTTTTAATCCCATTCCCGATAACCCGGCATTTTTACAAACTCGGCCACCCTTCGGTCCACATTAGGCCGAGTTTTCGAGGCTCTACTGTATTTAGTAATTACTATTACAAGAATATGAATGGGTGTATACCAGGTTTATAGTATTCGGATGTGTGTACTGTATATACAGGACTAGTCAAAAAGAATTGAATGATCTTTACATGTGTAAAGCAGTTACTACGTGCTCAATATGAACTCCCTTGGTCACGTTGTAAATGCCAATGCTATATTTAAGTTCTTGCAAAAGGCGTTGAAGTGTATCTGCATCAATGGTTTACACTGCTGCTGCTATTCTCAAGAAAAGAAGGTGTGTAAATGGACGTCTTTCACAACCCTTCATAAAAAATGCCGCAAGGAGGTAGGTTTGAAGATGTAGGAGGTCTCATCAAAAGTTACTGATCGTCAGTAGCAGTACGGTGTTGAAATCATGTGTTTAGGTATTGGTCATTCAAAAAACTTTATGATGTCTTTCTGTCGATTAACCCCAGTATAAAATTCCTGTTATATTTAAAGTCTTTATAGAACGTAATCGAATCATTCAATTCTTCTGACTAGCCTTGTATGTATACATATATAATTGCGCATGTTTTAAAAATATACACATTGATGATAAGGAAAACAATGATTTTTCAATACTTTCAATATTATTTACTTTTTATTAGGATAGTTCTTAGTAGAGACTTTATTTATTGCCAGAAGTTCCTCTTTTAATCAGTGTATTCCAAATCTGTTAATGATAGTTTGATAAATATTAAAGAAGAAACATGATTTACAATCAATTTAACCGAAACTCAAGCAACCGTCAAAATATCGAAGAAATAATACTTTAAATAAAATTAAAATAAAATCAATTACTGGCAGAAATGTAAGTTTAAACTTGGCTCACACTCCCACTCCCTTCAATTCATCGTGTGTAAATATACCGGCCGGTTGGGATCTATTATTATTATTTAAATTTTGTGTTCCTACCCAACCCGAAGTTTGTCTTTATTTTGTCTTAATTTACTGTTAATTATCGTAATTCAATATTAATTGTGTGTTCCTGAACGATTCGTTCTCTCAAGCAATTGTATGCTTAAGGATACTCATGACAATTACAACGAGAAAAAAGGGCAATCAAGTACAAATATAATGTCTTAACACAAGGACAAATAATAATACTACCTCGCTACCATTACTTAAATACGTTTCTTCAGTCACTTATTTTTTACAAATTTCTTTCATTTTCTCGTGTTCTGAATTAAAAAGTAATAATAATAANCACTTTTAGCTTTTATTTGCATTTACAAGACATGCTATACAGAGACATTAGCGATGCAGGAATGTGAAACCTGAATTCAGAGCCGTAACAATGCATTGGCAACGGGACAAGTGCCAAGGACACGAGGCGTAATGAGCCTTAAGCGTCCTTCACATTTATGCTCCATTGACTAAAAAATTAATGCATTGCCAAGGGCGCCAAAAACACTGCCACTCTCTGCCTGACTCTTCCTGAAGATGATGAACCGTGAGTCAACGGTTGATCGTAATTGAACTTCTGAGATGCTTCTCGTGTACAGTGTGATACTATCAACATTTTTCGAAGTTGCTAAATTTTCTCCAAATTTTCAAGTGTCCTCGATAACTCCACAAACAAAAATCATAGGGACTAAGATCCGGAAAGCGAGGTAGTCAGACAGTTGGGACTGTATGACTGATCATTCTGTTCTCGATGAAATGTTGCAGAAACTGCTGCACATAGCGCCCAGATGTATAGAGATGCTCCATGTTTTGAGTGAAGATGCTGCATTGTTGCTGTTGCAGTTGGGGTACAATGAAATTCGATATACGATGTATTCAGCCTCTCTCGGAATGTCTAGGCCGTCCAAGTGCATGTCACAGATCCATTAAGACTAGCTTCTCCGAAGAGGAAAAATGGTCCAGGGATGAATGTGTTATAAATCTACGCAAGACTGTAACTTTAAGCTAATGCAATTAGAGGTTTTCCGTGGCCCAAATGTAACAGTTACGGGAGTACACTGCTCCAACGATGTGAAAATGTCACTTCCGTGACCATAGCATATCCACTTTCATTTTTACAAGTACTGTAATATCAATGGAAAGATCAGTCAGTTTCTCCTCGGTAGCGAGCAACTGTTGGTTTTGACTGTTGGTAAAAAGCTGGTTAAGATTTTACGAATAACAATGCATTCTCTCAGTATCTCTACACTGTGCCTTAGGCTATATCCAATTCCCGTGAAACTGCACGAACACTACAGAGCGTATAACATTGTTTAACGACAGCTATGGTAACATCTTCTACGACTTGTGAACTGATAGGTTTGAGAGATCGACTGAGATTGGACTCTCAGACGTCCAGGTTTCTTGAATTGAGCGATCATTCTCCTGAGAGATCGCGAAGTCAATGGTTCTAGACAAATTTTTACGACAGTAAGATTCTCGAAGTGCAGCCGCGGCTTTGCTGTTGTTTTTCATAAAACAATTTTTCAAAATTGCGCGTTTCGGCAAGGCGATGGCCATAATATCTAATAAGAATGACATTCAACAGTTAAGGCCACTTTTATACCAAAAATTGGCTGCAATAGGTGTGTTTATGCAAACAAAACTCTTTTTTTTTGTTTCTTACCGCCTCAAAATTACCTTAGTGGTGAGTTTTGGTACTAATTGTATTACGAAATGTCTTTTGCACGTCTCGAAATGTCATCATACAGAGTTGGTTGCATTTGGACTGCTAAAAATCTTTCTAAACAGCTTTGGATATAGTATTTTAATTACGATTAGCCTCTATATATTGTATATAATTTAGTTTAACTTAATAGAAACAGAGAATGAATGATTCTCTCTATCTTATATACTTTTATACAATTCATTTCTATTTATTAATTTTTACTGAATTAAGTACTTTAATTATAAGGAATTTATTTAAATATATATGCAATAATCGAAATAAATTTATTTCTTAATTTAATAGAATTATTTAAAAAATACCTCTACGATCGGTTGTATTATTATTATTTGATTAACAATTGACGTAAAAATTCGTATTTAACTATCACATGACAAACGGGATAACATTATTTACATTAGAACTGCTGCTCTTCTTTTGCATTCTGTTTTGTGATATTCAATCATGTTACAAGCGATTTATATTATTTATATTTTTCTTTCGCTGAGTTTTGGTTAGCCGGGTTTGTTTTATGTTTATATACAGTATAATTATTTATTAATTTAATTTTATTATGATCTAATTTTTGTAGCTGAAAACGAGGAACAAGTACCTCCGACTCCTGACTCTTCAAAGGAAAGCAGTGTTAAAGATGAATCTGTAACTACTACTGCTATGCAAATCGAGTCAACTACTGATTTAAATACTGCTTTAACTACTGATGCGAGTGCTGCTTCAACTACTGAAAGTTCTTTATCAGAAGTGAGCAATAATGATGAATGCAATATAACATCACAGTTTAATGTGAGTGATTTTGAACTATGTAGAATGTAAATAACTTAAAATTTAAAAACGTTTTTTAAATTTTAGGTAATTTTTAGTAAATATTTTAATGAAACTTCTGAAAATGTAAGTTTACTAAATTATTTTAAAGAGTTAAATTTTAAAATATTAAACTAATATATTTTTATATTTGAGGAAAATAAAACATTCAAGGATCTTAGACAGGTTGGTTCAACTGTAAATAAACTGTAAATAAAAATTTATGTATAGGACTACAGTAGAGCGTCGTTTATCCGAAGGTCGGTTATCCGAAAGAATTCCAGTCGGCCTAAAGTATAATTTTTATTTGTTTTTATATTTTCCAATGTATTTATTTCGTTTGTAAAACATAAATAAATCATTTTTAACGATACAATAGCCACGATTATTATTTTAAAAGTTTACATTAGGCTTAACATCGACGAAAATTCAACGCGAAGCGACACGCAACGGAAAAAAATTTCAACACGGGATAGGTTATATTTTTTCGTACATAATCGGTTATCCGAACAACCCCAGTCCCCCAATTGATTCGGATAAACGACGCTCTACTGTATATATTTTGTTGAGTGATAATTTTATTTTATTTTTACAGATTATTAAACAAAAAGTGAGAGAAGTAAAACAGGTAGAAATTGTTTATATCATTTATAAAATGATATATATTTTTTGTGATATTTTAGTAATTAATTTGAATATTTATAAACAAATAATTAGGAATTTAGGCAAGCAAAACAGTCTTGTATAGAACACTGTAAAGCAAATTATTCAAAAAATAATGAGGTAATATTATATTAAGACATTTTAATAAATAATTGTTAATAATTATTAAATATTAAATAAAAACAAATAAAACTTTAGGAAAATTGCAAAAAGGGAAAAAAAAAGAAAAGATGTATAGATACATGCAAGGAAATTAAGATGACATAATAAATGTAAGTATTGTTATTTAATAAATAATTATAAAATAATAATTATTATAGTGTTTTTTTAATATTAATAAATAAATTAATTTTTTTCAGAGTAATTTTGAATTTTTGTTGACTGACTGAAATAATAAAAATGGTAAAATGATTAAAGATTTCAACTTCTTTAAATAAATAAGTATTGTGATAATACATAAAATTTCTAGAAATAAAATTAAT